GTGGATTTACTACTTTTACGGATTTTCCGGATCTTCCGGAGGACGGTCCCATGGCCATCTGGGTCCATGATCCAAATTCATTCTTATATCACAAATCCTGATGTTAAAAAAAAACACGGAGCTCTACACGGATAGAAATCTCCTTATACCTTTTGGCAAATTTCTATTGCTGATTATTCATAAAATGTATAAGTCAACTAATAAGCAGACGTCTTGCAAAAAGTTAATGGAGATCATGTGTCAAATGAAATGTATAAGCGGTCACACATACCTTTTATGCATTCTTATAGAACCTATGTGGTTTGTCTTATGGAATGTATAAGGCTGATTTTTTGGCAAAAATGTATAAGTGAAACACATGGATAAATAATTGATTTTCGTTTCGTGTAGGATCAGTTTCATGGATTGATCACTTTTACGGATGTTGCGGATCTTCTGGAGGACGGTCCCATGGCCATTCAAGTACATGTTTATGTCACGACCCCAAATATTTTTTTGTATCAGTTCCTAATGTTTTCAAAAAAAAAAAACCGCAGAGGTCTAGGATCAGGATCATGATTGACCATTTTTACGGATGTTCCGAATTTTTCGAGGATCGTTCCGTTGTCTCCAGGATCCATATATAGGAACCATGACTGTATTCTGGCTAATTGTGAACATTTGTGTCCATTAATCTAAATTACAGATCTTGCGCCACTTGCAAAACCCTACAAACACACCTTTAAAAAACGTGTAACAACTCTTTTCGCTTTTTAAAAAAGTAGACGACTCTATTTTCAAGTTCTTTGCAATCAAAATCATCTATAAACCCTAGGAATTCTAAAGGTACCACAATTTTTGAAATTCATTAAGAAATGGCTAAGTTGTGCCATTGCAAACTTGCCGTTACACGTTTTTCGGAGGCTTCGTAGTCGGCGTAAAGTTTTTTACCCACCGTATTCGGAGTGTTAAAGCCTTATTGTCCGTTGTTTCAGCTTGTTCTACCACAGGCATGCTGATTTTTTTATATGAAGAGCGTTAATAAGACCCTATTTTCTCGAGGTTCTAGAAGAAAAATCGTTAAATAATGTTCCACGGCAATGTACAAAGGTAGGAAACGTCATTTCAAACTGCTCGAATTATGTTATCAATTAATCATATTGTCGAGCAGTTTTGGGACGACCTTCTACCAGCGATTTTACGGAAATGAAACAATCAATTTCAGATTTTTCAAGCATTTTACAAATAAGACCCTATTTTCTCGAGGTTGTAGAAGAAAAAATACTAAAATATTGTTCCACGTTAAAGTTCGAGTGGTAGGAAACGTCATTTTAAACTGCTCGAATGATGTGATCCATTGTTCTTTTTTATAGTTCGATGAAACAAATAATCATGACATTAAAAAAGTCTGTTGATGTAATACGTCAAAAATACTGCAAATTTACACAATTTTACAATGCACCATTATTAAGTTTAAAATTCACCGGGCTTAAGATAAGTGTCGCTTAAATTAATCAGTAGTCTGAGGTGGTATAGGAACGCTAAGCGAGCGTTAAGCGGCGATATTAAACTTTTGATTGTGTAGGGGATGGGGCGGATACTTGATCTGTTAGACATTTTATTGGTTTAATACCACCTTATTACATCAACAGACTATTTAATGCCCCGATGATGAATATTATAAACATAATTACTTTTATATGGGTATGGGTTTATTTGATTGAACGTCATTTCCAATGTATATATTGATACATTCAAACCATTGGCATTTGAGATAAGACAGAGATAGGATGCGGAGGGCCCGCTTAGGAGGAGCGTAACCCATGTTATGGTTTCCATTTATTAAATAGTTCAGATAGGCTGGAAATGACAGGTTCATAGTGAGAAAATGTACCATATGGGTCCCGTTCACTGATCAAAATCAGATTCACATCGTCAGACCCTGCCCAAGAATAAGGGGATTGACGATGTCTTGTCAAGTTTTATTTTGAATTTGCGTTTTGTATTTAATACTCTAGTAAATCTCGCGTCCGTGCTCGTTCACAACAGTGTGAGGTGTCAATACTCACTGGGTCATATGTCTTAGACCAGTTCCAGATTAGTTTGCTATTAATATCTTCTGCATCGCAGTTCGCGATAGATTACTAAATATGGGTTCTCTTTTCCGACCATAATAGTGTGAGGGAAGGGGGTTAGTTAAACGTTGCGATATGAGAGCGAATAGAGGCAAATAAATAGGGAAGACAACACCATGACCCAAATAAGTAACCAATGCATGCGACTCACACTTAACTTGTTCTATTTTTTTCTTTCTTCCTATAATGTACTAATATTAACTGCCTGAGGACAAATGGGAACACGACCAGAAGTTCAATAGGAGAAAATTCGAACAAGAAAAGAAGAATTAAACTTGCACCGGCAAGAGGAACCAGACAGAAAGGATCATGCCGGTTGGAGACAGCCAATGTATACTGGACGAAGCTTGTATCTAGGAAAAGTCGTATGTGCAGGAAACCGTAAGTAGGATAAGAATCGTAAAAGGTGTGTGCTTGATAAGATCCTAACTTAACTTTAAATACACGGTAGGAATCGAATATCCATTTATGATTAAGGTTTTGCCCATTTTTCAGTGGGAGTGGCAATACTCATTGATGAGTGATTTATCGTACCCATTTATTAGTAACTGTTAGCAGCTAATGATTAATTGATTTACCTATTTTAGAATTACCTATACTTCACATCAGAACCTCATTTCCTTCAATTACTACTCCGTCGCAGCACACACCTTATATGGATCGCTAACCTTTATTTAGTTTCAGCATTTTCGACATTATAATCAAAAGGTGAGTTTTAAAAGTATAATTACCATGCATATAGATAAGTTAATGTACCAGAACCTGGACGGACACGAGCCTATCCAGGGGAGGACCCGGATACGACCACCCATGTGTGTCTAGAGTATCGCACGAGCTGACGAGTGCAACGGGAAGGACAGTAGGTGTATAGACTAGGGGGTTGGTCCCTAGATAAGCCTTCTTAGCGGAAGGCACAGCCTATGCACTGAACAATTACAATTACAATTACAAAATTAATGATTTTTATCAGAAATGCACATAACATTCATGTGATCACATGAAATCTATGTGATAAATCACATACATTTCATTGGACACATAAAGTTCATGTGATTGTGTAGTGAAGTTCTCAATTATGAGGTCACATGAAAGTTATGTGAAATTGGAATGAATATTTTCCATTGAAAATATGATTTATTTTTTGAGTTTAGGAGATGAAGAAGAATTTTGTCTTTTTCACATTTGAATAATGTGGTTTCCCATTTGCAACCCTACACACTCAGCTAAGTTTTGCTTGTTCGGTAATTTATTACTCAAAATATTCGGTGAACGAAGAACATTACAGATTTTTCGGTAAGCAGAATTAATTTTACCAATTTTCCGTAAAATTTGAACGAATTTCCGGTAATCCGATTATAAAATTAGCGAACTCAGTGAAAAAATTACAGTACAAACTGTAAAATGAGACAAACACCGAATTCGGTGAAAAACTACCGAACGTGTACCGTAAATTTCAAATCAGTTTACCGAACTCTTGTAATTTCTGACTATCAAATCCTGAGATGCCTTTGTTTAAAATTTAATAGTGAAAAGTGCGACAGTGTATGGCACAAGTGTTAATGTGTTTCCTTTGTTTCACTTTGATTCGCGTGTAAAGGGCCATAGAAAGTTCGTTTACAAATGCTTTTGTGCCGTTATCAAATGTTATGCCTGGTTTTTTGTTGGCACTGTACTTTGATGGCTTGTTTTGCAAGTGTCGGAAGCAAAAGCAGCCGATTATCACAGAAAATGCGTCGACTACGGTGATCGCTTAAAACACTGTTCCAACCACTTGAACTTTGCCATGGAACATTGGGGAAATGTCGGCTTCGGCAATACCTTTACCAATTACAGTCTGCGGGATGAATGAAATCGTAGAGCAGGCTTGCCCAATATGTCTAAAATTGCTTTTTCAAATGGCTGTATCTATGTTTGGTGAACATGCTTCAAGCTACATTTTGTTCTTATTGATTACTACCCGCATATAAAATAACCATAAGTGTCAAGTCTATTATAGACTGGATATAGATACGTTATACATAGTCGCACGATCTGTGAGTGATATCATTTGTGTATGGTACCCGTTTATAAGCGTGATAACACATAATAAATAAGATTGTTGCGTTGTTTGAATCTAGGTTTGGATTGCAAAATGTATTTTCGCTATTCTCTTCTTGTATGGTTATTTTACAATTTTTGTGCAGTTAAAATGCGTTTAATTATCAACAGTCCAGCTAGGTATTATTACTTGTACAGCATTAAATATAATTGCAATCCAGGTTGCAATCTATGCCAAGACCCAAAGATGTTGTAAACAGGGTAAACACTATCATATTTCGAGGTATTTAAGTTGTTCCAGATTGTTTTAAGGTGATACGATCCACAAATCATCGGCTTACAATGCCATTTTTCTAGGGAGTAGATATCGGAAAATATTGCGATTTCAGGTATGAAATTTGCATTTGCGACGGAGCAAACATGGGGACCCTTTAAAAAATACAATAAACGAATAATAACCCAAATGATTGAAATATTCCACAAATGGTTTGAATGATACCCCGAACCCGTCGTTAAGCAAAATAATAATACAAATATTATTAGGGAAAGCACTTTGGTATGTTTTCTGGTAATTATCCTCCATAAAATGCGAAGTGGTATCAGCATCAAGGGCTTCCAAATCGTGTTCCCTTAACAATGAAATGTGTTCGTGACCAATCATAAAATCCAAATCCGATTTTTGACGGAATTTTCTTTACAGGTGAAATGGCTCTAATGTTGGCCTATGGATCTAAGATTGGGCCCATCGTTAAAAATCTGCTATTTAGCTATTTTATCTAGATGAACGCGTCAATGGGACCGTACTAATGGATATTTTTGGTTGCTATTGAAAATTTAGTCGATTGCTGAATTTATGTATGGGCCCAAATAAGGGACTTTAGGCCGACATTACATCCATTTCCCCCACTCAAATAAATTTCAAACGGGTAGTTTACAATTCTAATGTGCAGTGCAATCAACAGTGAAACCCACGTCGGCTTAAAATGATGTTAATAATGTATTAGAAAATTCGCTAAGCCGGGCTTACGGTAGCGAAAGCCTGAAATGGCTAAGCTAACGTGAAGAAATTACATTTTTAAGCGAGTCTTAAAAGTGTCGTTTAAATTTAAGTGAGGCTTAGCGTAAATCAGGTTTACCGAGTTATTGATAGATCAACACTGGGCCTTATTACGGGTGTCACTTCACGGTGAAAACGAAGTGAAGTGACCAGTTGTCACTCACGGTGAAGTGATTGCCGTGTAAATCAAATGGGAATCACTTCACCGTGAGTGATAAGTTGTCACTTCACCGTGAAGTGACATCGGTAATAAGGGCCACTATCAAATTTCGAGGTATTTAAGTTGTTCCAGATTGTTTTAAGGTGATACGATCCACAAATCATCGGCTTGCAATGTCACTTCGAGTTTTCTAGGGAGTAGATCTCGGAAAATATTGCGATTTTAGGTATGACATTTGCATTTGTGACGGAGCAAACAAGCGGAGTTGGTGAAGAAAACGGCCCTTATAGCCTGTTTACATATGTTCTGGTTCATAATGCTGATTAACCAAAATTGGTGTAATCCGATTAAAGTGGTCAAGTCAGAAATGTGTCAATGTTAATCAGCACCGAACAACTGTTTACATCATGCTTATAACCATGGGTTTACAAACGACAGCATGTAAACAACCCGTTAGTAAAAAACCACTGTAAAGGATACATTTATTCATACAGCATACAGGCTGCCAAGCGTGGAAAACTGGATAGATGGCTGGATGTATCACACAAAAAACGGTTGTACAATTTTCATATTTTGCTAAGTTTTTATGTAATTTTCTTAATAATTTTGATAATTATTAAGCTATCTCAGTGCTTGTTTTACATAAAAATGAAGGTTATGAGATGTGAAATATGTGTTTGATTTGATTGTAGTCTACGAAAAAGCTCTATAATAACATACTAACCAATGTCATCCGAAATGACTTCAACTTTTTGGACCGGTTTGCTAGGTGTATCTAAACTACAAGTATCGTTACTTTTCACATGGGTACTCCATGATCCATCCTTGTGTAGTTGAATCTCATTATCCTCACCGGAGAGTTTGTTGGATGCAAGAACTTCTTGGAAATAGCTATGAAAATAAGGCACACATGAGCAAAGTGTGTTGTTTAAGACGATCAAGGTGTCAGCATACCCGTCGATTACAAGATTATCATAGATAGCCGGCTTATCGCATACCGGGCAATTCCAGGTTGGTTTGCGCTCGTTCATCTGTAGGTAGAGTGACGCATCGAAGCACTGCAAGTGCGAACAAGTCGAAGATCTATGGAAAAGAGTAGGTTCCACACTTTATTCATGCATGGCACATAAATGCGTAAGAATCGACTTACCGGCAAGGTGTTGCCATTCGCATCTTTCCAAGCGGGCAAACCAAAGAAACTTTTAACATGGTTGTGGCAATCTCACAGTCGGCATCTTCATTCAATTTTTCTTTGACTGTTATTGCATAGTAATTTAATTTATTGATGAAACAAATTAATACCTGATACCGCTATACGTAGATGCAATTTTATGTTTACTTACTTAAAGCGCGTGTGTAGTCTGCCGATTTTACACCCTTTGTCTTCATACGCTGAAGGAGCTGAGATGATGTCAGCTTACGTACAAGGTAGCAAGCTGCAGCATAACCTCGATTGTACTCCGTGCACCAAGAAACGGCAATGTGATTCGCCACCAGCGGAGAGAGCTTAACATTTGGTGTAATATTTACGGGCCGAGGAGGACGTTTCGGTTCCACACCGGGCTTGTTTGTTGGAATTGGGTTCTAAAACAAAACAAACTTGTCGACATTGCAAATGTCTACAATAACATACTCATACTTACAGGAAGTGGACATAGCTTGTTGTTTACTTTTACCACAATGTTAGGAGGAAAATAATCTTCCTGTTCGCAAGATGTCTCCAACAGACAAAACCGCAACTGGACTTGTATAGTATGTTCGATTTTATTTGCATTTCGAATATCTCTGTTAGTCGCAATATCAGTTGCTTGTTGAGGAGTTAAATGGAAGAAGAATGAACCTTCTTGTATGCGCTGTGTGGTATTACTGGGAACCAATGTTGCTGGTTTCAATAATGTAGCAAGCACATCGAAGAATGCCAGCTTTTTTAATTTGACATCAGGATGTATTGGATACCCTGGATTGGGGGTCGTTTCAGGATATGGAATGGGAACAATTCCGTTGGCATGAACCTGCCCACTACGGTTGTCGTTCTGTACGGTGTTTGCATACTGCTGCTGATACATGCTGGGTGTCACGCGTGCGATGACTGGTGGTTCAGGAGGAAGAATAGGAAGTTGTATTGGTTGAGTGGTTATTGCCGATGGGGCTTCTGCAGCAGTTTTTAAGGCTTCTGCCTCTGCTTGGCTGAAAATTATCGAATAATTATGGAGATATTCTAGAAGCTTTAATATGAAGTCATACGCTTTTTTGTGTAGATCACGAACTTTGTACTTTAAAGCTGATATATTTTGACGAACTAGTGTCAATACACGTTCAATGAGTTCACTTTTGCGGCCACTTCGGCTAATATTATTGTCGCCGAGTAGTTGTTGCAGATCAGATACACGAAGCTGATGTACTATGTCCTATAAAAAAAAAGTATATTTAAAACCAACAACAGTTATTATTATTATTATTATTATTATTATTATTGTGTTATTTCATTGATTTTGCAGAGAGCTTAACTTAACAATATAGGGGAAATGTATGTAATGTCGGCCTAAGTGTCCCTAATTTGTGCCCATACATAAATTCAGCAATCGATTGAATTTTCAATAGCGACCAAAAATATCCATTAGTACCGTCCCAATGACGCGTTCATCTCGATACAATTGATAAATAGCAGATTTTTAGCGATGGGCCCAATCTTAGATTCATAGGCCAACATTAGAGCCATTTCCCCTATATCAGCAATTACATAGGGAGTATTTCGTGAAAATTCGTATAGTTCGTCCTTATCAAAAAATACTTGACTCGTATTTTTTTTTATTCCGCCATTACTATTTCCGTGTTAGGGTGGTCCAAAAATTCAATTTTTTTTTTCAAAAATGCAGCTGGATCGATTATTGTGGTTGACCCCTCAAATAAAAGATTTTTTTAATGTTTTAAGGAAAATTACAACACTCAGAAGTATTAGATTTTGTATGAAATAAATACGTCACAAATGCTTATTCTTCACTGCGAGGGTTTCAACAACTTCTTATTTTAATATTTTTAATTAAAAAGCGATTTCGGAGGAGACGTTTCGGAGATACAATTTTTTAAATAAAAAATCATTGTTCCGCTATATATAAGGACTGTGTTCATTAATAAAAGTAGACTCCTGTTTCTCAAACGAAAATATTTATTTTCGAACAAATTCATAAGTTTACTTTATATAAATGAAAATCAACACACATATAACCGATTTCACGTGAGTTTGAATGTTTACTTCTTATTTCTGAAGAACGCTAGGACTTTTTTCTTGATACCGCCCATTAGATTCTGCCCAGTATCTTTCGATAGGACGCAGTTAAGGGCAGTTTGGGGGATTTTGGAATTTTACGACAAAGTCGACTTTTTCCTTCTTGAGCATCTCCAACGTAGCAGAAGCATAGTGAGCAGATGCCAGATCCGGCCAAAACAATGGAGGATCCGTATGCTTTCGGTAGATGTGTAGAAGCCGTTTTTTGATGTCGAGGGGCGATCAATTTCATAAATCAGCTGAATTGTAAATATACACTTCGGAAAATACACAAAAAAAATACGTATATGCGTACACGCTGTAACTAAAATACCCATTTCAGAATGCCTGGTAATTCACGACCACTTCGAGGTCACTTTTACGTACAATAAGCCTCGCATGCAGCGTTGGAAAATATCGCGATATTTCACGAAGTTCACCAAGGGTGAACTTTTCCAACACTGCTCACATGTTCGCTCTACCTTTATCAAATGGATAATGGTATCATAAACACACTTTCAGATTAAAAAAAAAAATATTATTTCCAAATCTGGCACGTAGGGTTTTTGATCTAATTTCCGTCCTACTAAGCACAACCCGCGATTTACCTCTCTTTTTTGAATGAGTTTAAACAAAAAATGGAATATTTCTGTCAAAGCTGACTTCTAAATTTATTCATCTTTCCATACGTACCGTTGAGATATTGTTTAAAATCACTGCTTCTTGATTCTAAATTCGTTCTACGAGTTTCAATTCCATCCTAACGCATTGAAACGCCATTAGAGTTTCTTCGTCCTACGGATAAACGTAGAAAAAGGGGATTCGATAGGAGGGCTTCTTTTGTTTTGACAACAATGAGCGTAAATATTCATACAATGCGCTCTAACAGGATTTATGTAGTAGCTAATGAACTTACGCATCAGAAAAAAAACTATTATTGATGTGTGCATGGTGAAACCATTGATATTATTGATCTTTTCTGATCGATAGAACGGAAATGGGCGATTAGGACGAAGTAGTGCTCTACCCTATATGGTTTTGAAATTTGTTTAGTCATCGGATGAGACTTCAATGTTTGGGCTGTGGAGTGGGGAAGCAGATGTTCCAATGCAAGAGGACACAGGCTGCTGGATGCTCTGGCAAAGCTTGAAGTTATGCTGCCCAACGAAGGTACTAGCAGCACTTTTCGCAGAGATGGCCGGGAATCTATTATCGACGTCACTAGGAACAAGGCACTTAGCACCCTTTTTTCCTTGCTTTGTTTTCCGTCGATCTTGTTTTCCGTGCTATCGTTATGTCTCAGAACATCCCGGCGGTGCCGACTGGGATGCAACCCAGGCCTGCTGGAGTGAGAGGTAATCACGCTTACCACTACACCACCGGCGCCACTCACTTAGCACCCTTCGCGTTAGTTGTCCAAGAGCCAGAAGACGTGTTCAGAGAGCAAGAACAGAAGCAGACAGAGAGGTACGAAGAGGAGTGTTTCAAGCGGCCAGGGCCACACTTAAACGAGCGATAAAGCAGAGCAAGTCAAACTGCTTAAAGGAGCTGATGCCAACCCCTGGGCGATGTATACCGTGTCGTGATTGCGAATATCAGAGGTCCAACGATTCTCTCTGAAAATCATCGTGGAAGGACTTTTCCCGAAGTACGACCCAACGACCTGGCCACCTACACCGTACGGAGAGGGAGAGGGAGATAACGTCGAAGTCACCAGTAGCAGTGGCGGACGGAATCCCCAATGTGGCGTTGAAAGCGGCGATCCAGGCGTCCCAGTATAAGTTCAGGATGGTACTGCAGAAATGCCTGGACGAGGGTCACTTCACTGACAGGTGGAAAATAAAGAAGATAGTGGTGTTGCTGCCGAAACCAGGAAAACCGCCGTGGGATCCAGTATCATATAGGCCTATATGCTTGCTGGATACACTCGGAAGCTCTTGGAGAGTATCATCCTAAACAGGCTAACGAAATGCACGGAGAGTCAGCACGGATCAGTGCTGATAAAAATCATTTCTTCAACACTAAAAAAGCTGAAAATGAAGGCAACCTTGAGAGATAAACCAACTACCTGCATAAATTTGAATTTTGAAATGATAACATGCTCTTGATCAAGGCAACCGCTGAGTTTCGCAGTCAGCAATTGTTTTTGTTCATTCAAAGATGCGTATTAACTATCGCCTGTTCTGTTGTCATATCAATATTCTTATTCATCTTGGTGGGGATGGTTTTGAGTATCAAATGCGAAATGATTATTTCCGTTTACACCAACATGCCGTTGTGGAACGTGTTATGTTGCTGTTTTCACTCAGGTCGATTATCTTATTGTCTTTTGCAGAATTGATGATAATATCGAGGTTTTTTTTCAGGTTGATACTCACACAAAAGTTTAACTCAGCATTGCTAGCTTGCCAATTAACAACTACTATCTCACTCAAGTATCATCCTACGGTACATGGAGAATACCGGTTATAGGGAGCTGCACCGTCGGGTTAACCTCACTTTTTTTACATCTGGCAGTGGTTTGTTCACATGTACTTAGAAAAAAAAGTAAAAAAAAACATTTAATAATATATAGATTTTTTGGAGAGGAATATCTTTCAAACGAAAATAGTCGGATATCATATCTTTTAATTCTTTTTATTTAAAATCTCAAATCCACTTGAATCGACTAACAAGCAAAGGTAAACAAACCACCACTGGATGTCAAACTGATGAATGCGGGTTCATCGCGTTAACTCGTGGCGTCAGCGTGCAGCATTCTATTAGGTTCTGCAGCGTGACGTCACGAATGAACTCAGTGTTAATTGGCTGATCCTTTTTGACATTTCAGTGGTACTGTTTACAAGCACTTAGGCTGTGAACCATTAGCCGAGTTAAATTTATCTCGTGGTTAAAAGTGACATTTCGAAAGTTATTTTCTATGTTCGAACATCCCCGTGCTGTCGATCGACCGGTTTCAGAGCCACGGTTGTCAACGTTTAACTTCTTGTCTGTCAGAAAGAACCATGCTCGGATAACTTTCCATCTGTCAAATTTTAACCAAATGTAAAAAAAAATCGCCAAATGGTTCAGAGTCTTAGTCGTTTCTTCGAAAAAAAAAAATTAAAATTTCCGAATTTTAACTTGAAAATTGTCGAGGAACAGCGCGGTGAAAGCAACAATCAATACGAAACTAACGATTTTAAATTGGCTCACCACTTTAGTAGCTTATTGGTCCCAAGCAAACGATTAACGTACCCTATTCTAGTTGAAATTCTATTACTACACTATGTTTGTTTTGATTCGCTATGAAAGTTTGACAGATAACATCAGGGGTGTGTGGATTCATGCAGAACATGCAGGGGTGAGTGAAATAGCTTGGGACTGCTTGGGACCGTTGTTCTGGTACTGAGTGAGCCAAAAATAATAATGATTTTCTTCGGGACCCAGTGGTCTTAGAGTTACCTCTATGGTGAAAGGATGTTGCTCATGGACAATGCAGAAGTGCGGTTTACATCTCACTGCAGTCTGAAAAATTATCGCCAAATCTACCCAAGAAAAAAATCGACAAGTGCACGTAAACAGTACCACTGAACTGTTATCAGATTGAGGTTAACCCCCCGACGGGGCAATACCTAATGATTGATGTGCAGTCACAAACACCAGTACACAATTACGTGTAAAACATTTAAGGGCGGTAAACTCCAACTCGGATTAACTTTTAATCCCATCCCTGTTTGGATGATCTGCAAAGTGTTTGCTTAGCAACGTGTTGATCAACTCTGATGTCGACATCAAAGGAGCTGGACAGTCTTGATCGGGATTTAATCCGAGGATAATACCAGCTTACCACCATAATGGCTGTAAGCTCCAATCGGTATTATCCTCGGATTAAATCCCGATCAAGAATGTCCGGCTGCTTTGATGTCGGCATCAGAGTTATTCAACACGATGCTATGCAAACAATTCGCAGATCTTTCAAACAGGGACGGTATTAAAAGTTAATCCGAGTTATAGCTTACCGCCATAAGTGTTTCAGTAACAAGGGGGGGGGGGCTGACTTGGTGATACAGCTTTGTCACTATAAGGGCGAGGAGATCGTGGGGGAGGGGAGGGGGTAGTGCGGTTTTAGAGCAAATTGCAGTGTGTCCATTCAAATTCCAT